ATGTTTTCTCCTTAGTGGGTTATCAATACCTTTATGGGCACACCAATGGTATTAATGAAATATCACATGCCATGAGACATGAATTGAATTTTGCGTTCATGCCCCTTACCAGTCTCATTGTTGCAAAATTTGCAGCTCATCCCCAGATGGATGTTGAGGAACCTAACCAGAATGTTGAACAAGAACAGTGTAAGTTTGCATTTTTAAGTTCTCTATTTTTTTCTGCTAAGAACAAATTGCTATAATTGCTATATCACAGTTTCCAGTCTAAAAGTTTTGTAATGAATGAGATTCAACATGCATTTAAGGCTGAGAATAAAGAATATAGATTTGATTTTGATTCTTTAAACCGAATATTCATGGAACTTCCCAAGGGTGCTTGTTTATAAACATGGTTGACTGTAAACTAATTTTTCTTGAAACATTTAACCCTTCTGATGTACGTAATGGTTAATAGTTATCATTTAATGTGATAGTATTATTCTTTTGACATTGAAAATTATATTTTGTTATGTTTCCTACTTTTTCTAGTGGTTTGTAAGATCTGTCCTTCATCAGGTCCTTTAGAGGTCAGTTTTGATTGTTTTATCTCCCTCTTGTTTCTATGGTATTAAAAAGTAATCTGAGCTTTATAGAATGCACTTTGGGGAACAGGAAAGGATTGTTTTTGGTGCATTGGCATCATACAATGAATTTTGAAACAGCTCTCTGATGTTATGTAACATAATTTTTTGTGTGCAGGGTGGAGGGGATTTCCAGATATCTTGGAAAAAAAAATCTCTAGAGCACATTCAACCTGGATATGCCTATTTTGGAACTGAGGTGGTATTTTTAACAAAGTATAATGAGTCAGTCTTGGAAGGGAAAATTCCAGGTAACCATCTGTAATTTTAAGTTACGAATATGACATAAATTGTTTATTTGCACGTCACATTTTTACCTTGACTTCCACTGCTCTTGTATGATCCAAATAAAATGAGTGTCAGTTTGGAAAGGGGAAAACATTTCTTTTTCTTTGTGAAGAAGTTTTTGTAAGCTTTCAAATAAATTTTGAATATCAAATTCAGATTAGATGATCTATGAGTGATCAACTGATCCTTTCACATTTTGTATGAATTGTCATCAGAGGATCAGTCAAAAGTGGAGCCTGGAAAATATCTATGAGCTTTATCAAGGTGTGAGATTTTTTTTCAGGCTAAAATTTGTGCAAACTTCTATCAATTGATATTATGAATCACAGTGTACTGGTCAGGATCAGGTATTTGTCACGTATTTGATGCCATACTTGGAATTGAGAGGGTTAAAGCTGCTGTAACTACTGTCAGTAACAGTTGTCTTCTATCTGTTAAATTCAGCTGGCCAAGAACCAGGTGAGGTTGAAGTGCGTGTGTTTTCAGACACTTATGAGTTGTTGGGTGAAACCAAATTTGAGTATGAAGATGCGATAAACACATTTGTCTCCCAAGCACTGCAGCATGGCCTAGAGTGGGTGTCTAACGTGTTTGTTCAGACAGTAAAACGTGTGTGCAGTCAGAGCTCATCCGTGAAACAGGGCTCATCCGCCAAGCAAAATTCAGGTGAATCTAATTTAATTATGTTACACACATTATTAACATAGGCACTTTAAAGGCTATCATTTCCAAAGTGAAGAAACAACCGCCTTGTTTTGATTAGTTTACTGATCTAAAGCAATGAAGGAGTCCTACAAACAATACACAGATGCAATTATTTTTAGTTCTAATGGACTAAATTAGCAGGCAAAGTCTGAGCAATTTCCTAGTAGCGGGCTACAATTGTAAAAAACATTCTTACACGAAAATTTACGCAAACAATTTTCCACGAGCATGTTCATGTCAACAAGACAACAAAGATGGCTCCTTTCTGAGCCTATCAGCAGTACTAAAGTACAGCATTAAACTCTTTACATTGCAAGTTGAGTTTATTACAGCCATGTTGGCTAAAATGTGGCTGATAATGTAGCTTGGCCCTTAAATTCATTTTGGCTTTTCAACAGTCATCTCTTGTACTTATAATTTAAGTGATTGTTTAAGTTTCGATTATTTTAGGATGAGAATAGTAAAGAGAGGTCATATTCATTGTAGTAGTGTGCCTCAATGTTCCGTACTCTTGATATGAATTGATAGGGCAAGCAACAGGTGCTCTGAATGATGGTTGTCAAGACAGATCTTTACCAGGGGCGAATACTGTCATGGAAGACGAGTTTGAAGACCTGGCGCAACACTTTCAAGATATAGTGAAATGGTAAATCCATTAAATTGCATTCAGAGATCAGTGTTTCAGAGTCAAAATTATTTTGGTCTCTATAGAAAAGCATAGTTTTTAGTATTTTGGACCTTTTCTTATTGATACACAAGTCAGGGTGTGAAATTGCGCCTAACACAGGTGCCAATGCGACTAAATTTTTCACTTTGGCGACCAAATCCTGAAAATTAGTCGCCAAACTGGCGACTAGAATGCTTCATCATAACCTTACCTAGAGATATAGTGAATTAAAAAGATTTGCAAAGATAAATCCACGACAAATTTCCTCGTTAAGTTTGTTTCCAAAACACAGCACATGCATATCAATCGATAACTAGACGCAATCTTGGATTTAGGTGAGCTTGAATGTTGAATATCATCCATCCTAGTGTCCACTTTGAAGCATGTTAACCATCTCTTTCCTAACTTAATTTTGGAGGGTCTATCTAGTACGCTGACAGCGTAAAGAAAGGTTTTGTGTGTCTAAAAAAAATTGTGACCAACTTTTTTTGAATTGGCTACCATTTAGAAAAATTAAGGAGCCAAGTGGCTATCAGAAAAAAAAATTAATTTCATGCCCTGCAAGTATGTAACAAAATTTGAAAGTTCTGCTTTTAAAAAGAAAGCTAGACATGCAGACAGACAGTGACTGTGAGGATAAATAACTTAAACTAACTCTGGATTTCCCTTATCAGCACTACATTCCACTCCAGCATCATACAAGCTGCATGTTTGATTACATACATTGTATACCTGCTAATATTGAGGTATTTACAGGTTATCAGAGCAAAGCTTCCACCCAGTTCATTCTAATACGGATATATGGTTGAAACTTTCAAATGCTGTTGATAAGCTGTGCAGAAAATTGGGTTAGTTGAAATGATTTTAAATGAACAGGTGATGCACTTTTTGCAGTCCAAGAACTCTACCTATTTGTGATCTTTTGTGGGTACTCCATGCTTGCTCTTCCTTGGATGTAATTATTTCCTAGTTATAGATAATTACGAAGTTGATTTGATCTTAATTTTTCTACATCTTATTCCTGTTACCCCCTCATGATGATTTAAAAAAAAAAATTTTGTGTGACTTAAGGGCTCACGAAGCCCACTCATTGATGTTATTTGTTCTTTATCACAGGTTTTTCCGATAATTTTAAGGGCAATCAACAGACATGCCCTCAAGAGAGGGAAGAAAACTACTTTGCTGATACTGAGAATTCTCCATATATGCTGTCTGAAGATGACAGCACTTCACTGTCTGATCCAGATAACTGGAGTGAAACTCCCAATGGTTGGTGATTTTAGTTTTCATTTGATAGATTCCCCCGTTTCATAATTGACTCAGTTGTCCTTAAGGAAAAAAGTTGCTCTTGAGACTCAGAGAAAAATCACTTACATGGAAAAGGCAAGTGTTATGTGTTACTATGAGCGTTTATATTAACACTTTTTTAAAATGTCATCTGCAAACTTTTTCACACAAACATTTACATTCCAGCTGGGATGATTAGAGACAACTTCTTGTTTGAAAGACATATCCTGCCTTTGTTAGGATTGTTGATTTCCATAATTCCAACCTATTAGTTGAAATAAGGTGTTCCCTGCGGGTTTTATTTAAAAGCAGATCAGGTTTTTTTGTTACCGTAACAATATAACTTTGGCAAAAGCACATGATGATGTTTTACATAATAATAATAGGACGGAGTGGAGTCCAGTTCGGTCTGTAATCATACGAGTGATTAACAAAATTGGACGACCTTGAAGTGGGAGTCCAATTTGTTAATCACGATCGGTCGTCCGATTTTGTCAGTCACTTGTATGATTACGGACAGAATTGGACGACACACAATCCTGTTACCAATAAATCAAAATTTTGACAAAATTTGAAGAAAAAAATTGTCATCGGTTATACGTTTTCAGAAAAACAACAACAACAACAATCAACTCGGCGAAATGCGAGAAAAAAGCACGCACACATGACGCGTTTTGTCCACTTACACAGGCATGAAGTGTCAACTGTCCCTTTAACTGTCCTATTACACTGTCCAACTAGAAGAATAACGTGTGCACTGTCCTACATAGTGCTCTATTTGGGTGGTGATGACCAATGACATTCGAGAATTTTGTTATAGTTTTGATTAATCATGTAATAAAGCGTTAAAAGTATTGTAGGAAAACGTACATAGCAGAGTTTTTCATTGGGTAATTAAGTAAGCACAAAAAATGCACATGGTAGCGATTTGCAGTGTGTAATAATCAGGTAACAAGGTAATAGCGCACATTGCAATGTTTAACATCGTGTATTAATAGGTAATGAAGTTGTATCCTTGAGTTTATAGCTTGAAAATTCAGTTGATATTGACCCTGTGAGAGGAAAATTTGATCTTTCATTTATTATGTAAAGTGTTGCAATGTTGCCTGAACTCTTATTCCTCTCTAAAGAGAGATAGAGGTAGAGATATAGCACCACAATATTGAGTCTATTTTTGAGCATTTGTGGTGAAATGGTAAAGTGAGAGAACACCACTTCCCTCTAAGAAAGCGAGTATCCAAGTGTTCTTACTGTTTTCCTTTTGCTCTGTTAGAATTGCCATCCAAGTCAGGAGATGATGTAAAGGAAACTTGGAAGACAAGCACTGCCCCAGACCATTGCCCAGAAAAGAGTTTTTCACCTCCTCTGGAAGATAAACCAAGTGACACTACAAGGGAAGTGAAAGATAATAAAGAAGAGGATCTATATCCAGAAGTTGTTAAAGCTGCAGAAAGTATGGTTACAGGGCATCAATTTCGTCCAAACAACCTAACAGCTGGTCAAGCCAATGTTGTGTATCGAGATGGGCAGAACGTCTTGGAAAACAGGAGTTTGTCTTGTGCTGGGTTTTCACCATCATTACTTGATACAAGTAGCCTAGAAACTGCGAGCCAATTTCAGCAAGTCATTCCATCTGATGCATATGGTATGGATGAAGAGAAAAAAAATGGCTCAGTGTTAAAGATTGAAACAGATCCTCGTCTAAACTCCGATGACGTCAGTGCAAGTGGTTTACCAGCAGTGACTTTAAGGTCTTCATGGGTTCTCTATTCTGAAGAAAGAACCTCCCATACTCTGTCAGCATCACGTGATGATACCCCAGTGCCTTGTCGTGATATTCCTGCCCTAAATGTAGAGAATGGAGAAAGTCAGTACCAGGATGATGCACTTTTTAAACCACCTTACACAAATGCTATACCAAAACCTTCAGAATCAATTATTTCTGTAACTTCAAACCAGCAATCAACAGCACATCCTGGACCAATTACTCAAGAGGTAGCTCAATCTCCCCTAAGCAACCCTTTGTGGAACAGAGACAGCAAATTAAACATGGCCCCTCCACAGTGTAGTGATGAGGAAACACACTCAGGTCAGGAATGGGAAGAATCAGGTAAATATTCTGATGCAAATGAGAGTACAATTATTTTCATCTCTTACAATTATTTTCATCTCTCCTGACGAAAAATTCGTTTATATGCAGATAAAAATAATTATTCAGTGTTGAAAAATTCCTGTTGTAGGCCTTAAACCGAATTTTTTCATATTTATTTCAAGAATTGGTTACACAAAAATAGAAGAGTGTTATGGAACTACAGGTTATGGTTAGGAATTATGTGTTCATAGGCAATTGTACATTTATTTCTAATTGATATCAATCTGGGGTTATATTGGTAGAGATTTGGTTTTAAACTCTATTTTAAGTTATCAGAAACTTGTTTGAAGAAATACCAGTAGTGAGAGCTGTAGCATTAAATCAAAGAAGTGCAATAATTGAGAAAAGTGGTGTATTTTTGATTAGCTCACTTTCAAACTTAGTCAATGCAGCTTCCATGTCCTCCAAATACAATCCCATCCATTTATAAGCCATCCCTTAATTTCCCAGAAAGTTGGATCTAAGACTAGGATTATTCTAAAGCAGGAAAATCTTAAGAACCTGTTCCGTTATTAAAACCAACTCAGTATCTGCATAATGTCATTAACAAGGAAACTTACGTGAACCATGATATTTTGCCTGCAATTATTGTAGGGGAAGGTCTCGCCAGTTGGTTTGATCTTTGTGAGAATGAAGATGCTGGAAAGGATGAGCATTCAAGATGGGAAATGTCATCTATGGAACCAAATAAGACTGATGGAAGTGTGGAGAGAGATGTCTTTGATTCAGAGGAAGGTTTAAACCAAGGACAGAGGCTCTTTTCTGAACAAGGGAACTCGCATATTCACCTACCATTACCAGATGATGCCTCTGTTCAGAGTCGTCGTCCTGAAGTGGAGAATAAAGAGAGCCAGGTGTGTTTGTTATGTATAGTTGGAAGTTAGATCCTTGAGGGCAGAATCTTTGTTCATTTGCAGAACTTTACACAATGTTTCACAAGGTGAGGTGAATGCATGT